AATTATTTAAAATAATTCACTACTTTTATAATTACAAAAGTAATTTACTGTAATGAACTACTTTTCTAAAGAGCATTTTGTTAAAAATAAAACAACGACTGATTAAAAAATTAAATTGAAGAGATTGCTGCACAGTTTGACCTTATGATTAAAATCAAATTTTTTTAATATAGGTACCTACCCGGTTAACATTTTTTATGAGTATTCAAGTATTTTGTTGTTAATTAATGAAAATCAATAGAATAAGAAATTATAATATTTGTAAAAATAAGAATCTAGACTATAAAACTACATCAAAATATGTACCACATGATTTCGTACAACATATGGTCACAATCTAATAACAATAATTATTAATCCAATCCAATGGGAATAAAATATTTATTCATACATACATATTTACATATGTACGTATAAAATTTTAAATATTCATAGAGAAACGGTGTAAATATATAAAGTTACTTAATATGATGCGGTATGCGCAAAATAAGAAATAACAATAATATAGAAATTTTATAATAAACATTTTATTATGCATGTATGTGTGTTATACACAATTAAGAATATTTGTATTTTGTTTCCGTCTCATTTTTTATTTTCAAAAAGAATAATAAAAAAAAAAGAAAAGAAAAAAATAAAACGATAATGAAACTGGTTTTAATCAATTCCATCAGTAACATTCCAATCTTAATTTTTAACTTCCCATCTAAGGTATAAAAAGAAATTCTTTATGAATAACAAAAACAACAACAAAAAAAATAAAGCAACAGTCTTTTTACATTCAGCAGCAAAAACAATATTATTAATAAATAGATTGGTCTGTTGCATTGCATTGCACCAGCAGGAGAAAAAAAGAGCAACATGAGAAATTTACAAAGAGAAAATTCATTTTGTATAAATTCATAATATAGCATATGCAATATATGTACATTAGGTACTATTGTAAATTTTTAATAAGTGCATTCTGTTACAGAGTGCATATAAAAATAAAAAGAGTAAAATTAATTTGACATAAAAGAAAATAATAATAACCTCGAATAACAAAAGTGGATCTTAAATCAGTGTTTTCCCACGAAAATTAAAATAAAATCAGCTGGCTATGTAAAAATTTTAATTGTCCATAACTTATCACTCATCAAATTTCACAAACGGTTTTTAATTAGAATCGTTTTAGCTCATTTACTATTCCCAGATCCTATAATTTTATATAAATAAATTCAAAAATTACGCGTATATTAATAATTTATATTTATGCACACATTCATACATGAAATATAAGATAACTTCATGCGCATATTTACATATGCATGTATGTATGTGAATTTGCACTCATTTTTAATTTCTTGTTTTTATTTTTTGCAAAAACATTCTATTTTAAAAGCATCAAATACTTTTTAAGAACATTGACATCTATTAATACATTATGCATGATATGTATGTGTGAATATATAGAGAAATTCAGCTGATATTTTTTTATTCACCTTTAACCACCAAAGAAAAAAAGAAACACAAAAAAGGGAAAAGAGCAAAAATGCATAAAAATAATGAGAAAAAAAACGCCTCTCTTAAATTCTTTAATCATTAATATTTTTGTTGTTTGTTTTTCTTGTTGCTGCTACCATGCTATTGCCGCCGTCATTGCTGCATACTATTTCAAAATATTTTATAAATATGGTATACTTATGACGTTACAAACAAAGGTTCACTTTTCTTTTTATTGCGCAAAATATTAAATAAAATAAAAAAATAAGAATAGCATAATAAAAGAAAAAAAATATCTGCAAAATTCCTTTACACAAATTCACAATGCATATTTACAAACACTAATGTAAGAATATGAATAGAAATATAGGTTTGTGTGTGTGTACATTTATGCATTATAGGAATTGAAAATATATTGTGAAATTGTAAAAATTTTAATTTAATAAAACATTAAATTTTTTTGTAATAATTTCATAAAACTTGGCTTACATTTTATTTAAGAATCGTAATAAAGGGCAATTGAGTAAAAAATTGTGCAGTGTAATTTTATTGTGGTAAGGTAATTGAGTGACAGACAAGTTTGACTTTTTGTGACTATGGAAAATTTGACATTTAAAGTTGTCATTATTTTTTACATTATGAATACTAAAGATTTAAAAATTACCGAAAACGTAGGTAGGCACTATTTTATTTAATTGTATTTGTTTTTTTTTCAATAAAACTAATTTCAACATTTTCCAAGTTAATTCTTCATTCTATTGTTATTTGGGAATTATTCATAAAAACGGTATGTACTTACATTATTATGTACATACATATTTAGAATCAACATACATGATTCAAATCCTTAAAAGTATGTACATATGTGTTTACAACATATATTTATGCACACATATACATAGGTATGTAGGTACTTAACAGGGAACAGAAAAGTCATTTTCAATCTATATTGTAGCTGGGTTTTTTTTTGTTAAATCTGAGTTCTAAAGTAATAAAGCTAGGCATTCTTAAAATTATGGATATAATACAGTATACACACATGCATGTAAATGTAAATTATTATTTCTTATATCTGTTTTTTCTCAATTTCATTTATTATTGATTTTAATACATTTGTATTTTAATTTATTATTATTATTTCTTTAATAATTATTTAAAGTTATTATAATCGGAGAAGATCCTTTGCATTTTTCAATTTTAACTTTTATATCACTATTATTATTATTACATATTTTCATATGCTAACAGGCTAAGGTGCCTGTTCATTATTTTTTATTAAAATCTCGTTTTGAATTCTATTTTTAGCCATACACACATTTATGCACGTAAAATATGTGTAAAATAAAAAGATTGTATATATCAATATACATATATAAATATATGGCTATACGATTGAAAGTGCGGGAATAAATAAAGGATAAAAAGGAAGAATATAAAAAAATATTATTGACAAGAAAATAATATAAATGTACAAAGTTCAAAAAGGTATGTAATACTAATGATATAATGGTGTACCTAACCTATATGTTATTATTATTGTTATTATGATTATTATTATATATGATTATTATTATTTTAATATTGAAGAAAATTAACTAACCTTCATCAATTTGATTTATATTGAAGGGAAGGTTCAAAAATGGAAAAACAGTGCCAATATATAAAAGAGAATCATTGAAGTGATTATTAAATTAAATTTTAAATAAAAAAAATGTATGTAGTATGTAGTAGCTAAAAGGGTTTGTTAGCAAGACAAAAGAGACGTTAAAATAATAAGAAAAAACGTTAAAATAATAAGAGAATATGAAAAAAATTCTAGTATACTTTAATTCCAGTATTTTAGAATAAAATTTTTATGTACAGAAGTGCTTAAAATGTTCGATATAAAAATTTGTTGCCTATATAAAAGTGAATGTGACCGGAAGCTGTGTTTTTTTTTTTTGGTGTGTAGGTAAATGGATTGAGAAAATTTTTAATAATAATTTCCTGGAGTACATACACTACATCATAGTGATTAGTAAAATCACTAAGCATGCTAATTATTTTAGTGAAGAAATTATTTTATAAAATGATTTTAATATTAAGATTAAATGAGCAAACCGTTGTGTGACTTCAAATACAAGTTGGGCGTTAAGTGAGATCATTATTTGAGAATATAATGTTATAAATGAAGAAACAAATTTGTTATAGGTACATACTTTTCGAATTTACATAAAATTTATTCTCTCTTATACAAATCTGTGACTATATTACATACATATGTATAGAATACTTAGGTATATTCTGTGTATGACTGTACCGTGTACGTTACAATATATAAAGAGAATATGTGAGTAGTTATTTAAGAAAAATAAGTAAAGAATAAAAAGGGTGTTAAATTACTTCCATTATTGAATTGTTCGGTTTTATAAGACAATAATTTATAAGAATGCATGAGACATAAAAAAAAAGAATATAAAAATGTTTAAAATGTAATTTAAAAAAAAATTCTTATAAATGAAAATTTATACAGTGAGTAAGACTGAGAGTAAGATAAAATTTATTTCCCGCCAAATTTCATTATTTACACATTATTGCTTTTTTGCGGTGATTTTATTGAATATTTTATTTGTAAAAGATTTTTTTTATTAACAGAAATTTTTTCATAAGGTTTCATTGCTTTTATGCAAAATTTATAAAAATGTAGATACATATTATGTGCATATGTACCCGTGTATGTACATATATGAACTGTTTAGTTCACAATAAACAGTTTCTGAGAAATTCCTTGTAGTACTTGTTGGATTTAAAGGCAAAATTCAACTACAGGTTTCTGAATTCAAATTTGCAATATAACGGTATATATTTTAGATTATAAGGCGCGTAATTGCTAAATGGATGTAATTGTACAGCAATTTTGAAGCCATACGGACACTATAATAGTTTCAAATATGAAAATTATTTATGGAATCGCTTATCAATTTTTTTTTTCATTAATAATAATTTGATGATTAGGGGGCGCCCACAGAGGAATGTCAAATATTACTTAATCAAATTTATGTATGTATGTGAAAAATTTGTTGCGTAATTTATGAAAGCTTTTAAAATAACTAAAATAATTTTTTTCTTTTTGTATTTAAAAACTAAAATTATTGTGAATAAATTAATTTTATTTAAAATTTTCTAAAATATTATTGGTATTAATTGGAATTAATATAATTTTTGTTTTCTATTTTTAGAACTATTAATGGAGGAGTAATTTTTATTTACACAGGCTTTCATTTATATAAAATGTACAAAATGATTTTGTTGTTAATGAGATTAACAATTTTTCGATTATAACTGAAAATATTCTTAAATTTGAAATTTTGAAAGCATTTCTTATTCTTCTGTATTCCAATTTTTTTAAATTATAAAATTTGAAATTGAATAATTTTTGCATTGAAATTCTACTTTCATTGCAAAAGTTGAGAATAAAAAATAAATGAGATATTTAATAGCACAATATGTATATTATTATTAAGTTGCATGACAGTGTAAGCGGTATGATTTATAGACTCGAATGTCCATTTACTTGTTGGAATTACTGTGCGACGAGAATTAGCATTAACAAAACAAAATTTTTGTTTTGAAATCAAAACAATTACTTAAGATTGAATTAATTAGATTGTTATGTAATACTATAATAATCAAGAATGTATAAGAAGCATAAAAAATTCTTACAAATTAATTTGAAATATTGAAATTATATGGTCATAATTTTATTCTAATTTCCGTGACATATTGTTTTTTGAACTCACCTGAAAAAAATAAAAGAAAGAAATAAATTAAAATAAAATCATATAGAAGTTTGCATAACAATTTATTTAAATGCAGTATTGAGTATTTTTATTATTATATTTAAATTTATTAAAATTTTGAATATTTATTTGTAAAATATACAAGTGGCATCGTATTTAGTTTATATTTCAAAACTACTCAATAATTTTTACACAAATTTCTCATAATTCCTTTAAGAGAATGAAACTAATGTGGATTGTATATGGAATATGGTGTAACAGTAATATAAATAACTCTTATTTTGTCACTGTTCACAATAAGTAGATAAATTTCTCAAATACACAATAAATTGTTTATATTAATTAAATAATTTTCCAACATTTTAATTTTATTTTTAATAAAAGAAATAAAATAAATGATCAGTGCCAATGTATACCGCCCATATTGTGTGATTGTTCTTTTCCACTCTTTGATCTTCTACTTATAATAAAAATAAAACCATATATGAAATTATTATCTTGCATAACTTTTAAAATACAATTTAAAAATTTCAATTGCAATAAACATTAATTATAATTGAAATAATATAAAAGAAAATATTGTAATCAATAATTATTCACGGGAAGACAACAAACAGAGCAAGTAAGATATGAAGGTTTTAAAACAAAAAGAGTTTTCTTTAATTTCGAACTTTTCAATTAATTTTTATCTTTTGTTTTTACAATAATTAAAAATAAAAATCACTATATCGTATACATTTATGAATAAATAGAAAAATGAAGATAAAACTTTCAATATGGTTATTATCCTTTACAATGTACGCATATAAACTGTGTAATTTATGAACTTATTTAATTTCAATACATATGTACATGTATATGATCCCGTTATGTTGTTGAGTCAAACTTTATGTATGAAATTTTTAGTATGATCTCACATCATACTTCTATCTTTACTATTGTTCGTACAGAAGTACTTATTTTATAATTAAGTATTTGTGTATGTATATATAGATATAAGTACTTATTTCGTTTCTTTTCAAATAAATTCAAAGTCATAAATCATTTTTTTTTTGTTCCTTATTATTTATATTGTATGTATAGTAAAAATTAACAACTTTTTTTAAGCTCTTTTTCTTTTATTATCATGAACAAACATCAAGGTAATGAATATTAAAATGTAATTTGCAACATTGTTGCATTTTTATAGTTGTTGTAAATAAAAACATTAACTTTGTTGCAAATATTTCAATAATTCATAAAACTTATAAAAAAAAAACGACAATAAGAACGTATTTTGTAAGAAAAATTTTTTAAATATAAAGTTTATGTGCTTTTGGAAGAAGAGGAATAAAATTTTTCAAAATGACTTTTTAACACTTTGACTGTCGTCAAAATATTTTATAAATTTTTCTTATGTCTAATATTATTGATATAAAATGAAATTTCCGTAGTGTCTCATTTTATTTATAAAATATCTGTTAAGATCCAAAAAATAATTATTATTTTAATAAAGTGAAAAAATTTTAATTATTATTTTAATAATAAATATTGGTTTTCGAAATAATTTGACACGTGGCTCATATTGGTATCATGTTATTATATATGCTTCAAAGATAGTGGAATACATAGGGTTAATAAACTAAATACAATCAATTTTTATTAAAGATCAGGGATGTAGACAGTTTTTATTTGTTACCTAATTAAATACATATGAAACGCCAGACTGTTCACATTAATGTGACACTGCGATAGCGACAGTCGCACGAAGTGCTAAAATATTATTTGATCCACAGATATTTAGATTGTTTTTGATTAAATTATTGTCAATGTAAACTACAACGACTAAATGTAATATAGTCAATATAAACTACAATGTTGTAATTACGACAACGACATTTTTGCGACATCTCGTACGACTTTCGCTGTTATTGTTTTACAAAAATGTCAAGAGTGCAGAAAGAACTATATTGTTAAGAAGAACCATATTATATAATTTTTTTATGATTTAAATTAAAATAAAAAAATAAAAAATATAATATGTGTTAAAATTTCATAAATCATACCTGTCAAAATTGACAACCTAACATAATAAATTTTACGGAAGAAAAATTAAGTTGTTTCTGTTTCTTAATATTCTCTTACAATATTTTTGATGAACTTTTTAAAAATTTTTTAGTGGGTTATTTTCCAACTCATACCACATCATATTTATTTCAACTACATCCCTGATAAAAAAATCCACAGCTACATTATTATTGTATATAATTGAATTATTTTGTGTGAATTGGAAAATTGCTGGGAAAAATGTAAATAAATTTAAAAAAGACGAAAAAAAATAATTTTTTTGTGTAAGAAACTTGTGTAACTTGTTAGTAAATTAAATCGATAATATTTAACAGTCTTGCATATCAACTATATTTTAATGCAAAGCGGTTAATTAAGAAAAATAAAAATTTCATAAGAAAAATAACATTCTACTTGCTATGAAGAATCTCAATAAAATACGATTGGTGGCGTTGCATCTATTATAAATAAAAAAAAAAAATCTTAAAATTATTTTAAATTGCTTTTTAATGGCAATTTTATAAAAATGTTGAAATGTCTAAAAAAATTTTGTGTACACTTTTTTCTTTATATTGTGAATGGTTGAGTGGATTTTTCTTATAGAATTTTTGTCAGGTGACTAAAAACTATTAATTTTTATTTTTAAATTCCGCATTAATTACCGTAAATAAGAAATTACGATGCTATTGCAATTACAAGAGAATATTTATTACTGTTAAGCCAAGTAAATAAAAAAATAAAATTTATCTATTCAATAAATATTAATTTTTATTCAATTATCAGGTACCAGTCGTTCCAGAAACCATTTTCGACTGCCTAGATCAAAGATAAAAAAAAAACTGGGTAATGAGATATAAGTTCTTGCTACTGTTAATCAATGTTAAATAAAATAGTTAAGATGTTAACAAAGTTTTGATGGGAGTCTTACAAATATTAATATTAAGGAGGGAATATAGGATTAGTATGGAAATTTCAGACCAAGGAGAGTGTTTTATTTTAAAAGAGAAAAAAGAGCGCTTCAATATGAAAAATCACTTTTTAAAAAGGTCAATCACCCGTCAACTGATTTAATGGTTCAAAATATTCCTTTAATATTTTTAAATATTTTAATTTTATTGTCATGTCATTTTAAATTTAATAGCAAAAAAAAATATTCAAGAAATTTTGTGCACCGTTAATTCTCATTTGCCTGCCATTTTTTTAAACTCTTTTATTATGAAGAGAAAAAAACATTTCTTTCAACTTATGAGCATTAATTTCATATGAGCATTAATTTAAATTACTCTCATACTTAAATTAAATCACTACAAATATAATAATAATTCTTTCTACAAAGCAGTTAATACCTTTTTTTGTAATCACCTACCAGTCAATGAACACCAACCCACACACATTTATTATTATTTTTTTTTGTTTTTTTTTTTTTTGTATTTCATTGTATTTTTAAACTTTTTCAATATTCATTCATTTACAGTCTAAATGATTACACATTATCTCTATATACCTACATCGATACAAATATGTAATTATAGAGCACTGGATTATAAATAATACTTCCATGTACATTATGTACATTATGTGTATATGCAAGTAAATATATATACATATGTACATATAATGATTTATAAGAAACATAACGTCCAATGATGACAATATTTTTAAACGCCTCTGCATTTCTTCAATTGGAAAAAATTTTAATATTAACGTAATCATCCACATATAGGGTTTTTCAATAAAAATGTTATTAAAAAAAACTCAATTTTCAAATTGTTTGACATATTAAATCCCGAATTACAAGCGTAACCCATGCAATCGTCACCTTACATTGAATAATACACTGTTTTGTAGTAGTTTCAATAAACTATAATTAAAGAACGTAGAAATCAGGCATATTACAAGGTAATTCAGTGAAAATGTCACCAAATTTGACTAATGTCATTTAATTTGACAGTGACAGTTAGTTCATGTCGTTTTAGCTATCTTTTTAGTGGAATTCTACTTTCTCTAGATCAAATTAAAATTTGTTTTGATTGTTTGACACTGACAAATCTTGTCATTCTAGTAATGATTTTCGTAAAATTCTACTTTTTAACATTCAATGGATTTTTTTATCTTAATATTTTTTTGTTCCTTGTACTTAACAAATGAACTTTTACTACATATGAACGTGTTGTACAGTAAAACATTTTCATTTAAGAACACCTCATTACTTTTTTGCCCTCCTTCAAGTTTTGATCTTGTTTTTATATTTATAACAGAAATAACAAAAAAAAATTAAATTTTTTTCCAATTGCAATTCATAATTATACTTTTTTTTTCTGAATGTCTAAAGTCATGCAATTGAGAGTTTTGTTCAGTCAACAAAATAAATATAAATTAGAGGAGAAAACATAAAAGAGCATAAAAGTAACCCGAAAAACACCTTCGCAAATTTATAATTTAACACAATGCTTGTGGCTGCTGTTGTTTTTTTTTTTATTCCTAAACATTCAACAGTCTAGAGCTCTTGAATGATTTGCACAGTCTTGTTTTTCATTTCGTTTTTTTTTTCGTTTTTTGTTTTTTAATTGAAGTGTGCATGTATTTCTTATGTGGAATGCACAATGCACATTTCTAGTTTTTGTTTTTTGTTTTGAAAATTTTTAAATTATTTACTGTGCGCCAGATTACCGTATTTTTGTATAATCATAAAATATTAGAAAAGATCTTGAATTTTTTTTAATTTAATTGTGTAGGAAGTTCTTTTTAATTAAAAACTATAGAAATTTTTTTTTATTTGTATGATTTTTAAGGGCAATCCTATTACATAATTTTCCGGAATATAAAAAAATGTCAAAAGTTATTGACAAAATGAAGGTTTAAATGTCGCATGTTAAATGAATATTTTGCAATGTCCTTGAAAAGTGACTTAAAATCTTCTCAGAAATATCGAATAATAAGAAGAATTAACAATG